TAAGTCGATATTGGGGGACCCAACATTACAAAATTAGGCCTGCTCTGATACCATTTTACAGAAATCAAATGATATTTGGTATAACTCAACCTAACAAAACCGTCTTGTCAGGGGAGGATTGTCCTCTTTTTATTAAGTGGATCGTGTCAATATCTACCGCAAATGTGGGATTCTAATATCTTTGATATTGTTGTTTATTTAGTGTTACTCGGATTTTGTGTCCATGGCTTTTCTTTTGTACATAAAAGATTTTTGTATTCTTTTTCACTAATTTAATTATGTTGTTTTTTTATCCAGGTCATTCAAATTTCATATTCATTCTTTTATGTATTTCTTTGATCCTTGCATTAATGAAAATTTTCGATCTGTTCACGTTTTTGAGTATGTTCATTGTTGGATACATGTTGTATTGTTTTTCTTCTTCTTTTTTTTTTTTTATGGTCCTTTGTATCATCCTTTGTGCATATTTATTGGAATATTCATTGCGAGTCATTCAAATTTCATATTCATTCTTATACGTATTTTTTAGATCACCACATTAATGAAACAATTTGGCGTGTGTTTATTTTTTCATATATGTTGATTGTTTGATACATATTGTATTGCTTCTTTTTAAGCATGTTTCTTAATTATGTCAAGATTAAGATCGAACTGATGTAATCAATGTTGACACTACAATAAAAAGTGTTATTAGCGATGACATTATTAGCGACGACATTTGTTGTTACTAAAATTACAATATTAGCGACAACATGTCGTCGCTTAAAAGAAAATAAAATTTTTGAACAACTTGTCGTCGCATTCACTATTTGCGACGACATATCATTGCATAAAATTTATATAACTATGACGATATTTCATCGTTAAAATAGAAAGGCATATTAGCGATGACATGTCATCGCTAATACCCATTGGCGCCAAAATCAATCTGGCGCTAACAATTTTAGTGGCAGTTTGTACATTATTTGCGAGGACATGTCGTTACAAATATTGATGGTTACAACTGGTGGTGACATGGCCAAAAAGAGGCGGGAAATTTGGCAGTTTCCCGCGAATAGGTTCCAGATATTTCCTTAATTTTTGCGACGACTATGCAAAACGTCGTCGCAAAAAATAGTTCCAGAAAATTCTTTTCAGAACGACTTTTTTGCGACGACACTTGTCGTCAGAAAAAAGGGTTCCAGAAAATTCTATCAAAGACGACTGTTTTTTGCCACGACACGTGTCGTCGCAAATAACATGGGATTTAATATTTCCCAAAAAATGGGAGGAAACTTTGGCGGTTTCCTCAAAATTATTTACGACGACATTGTTAAATTGTCATCTCAAAAAAGGAACCAGGGTAAATTCGTCAAGAATATTCTCAGCAATATTAATGAGGTGAAGAAGAACGTCATCATTTTAACATGAATTACGACGACTATTTAATCTTTTTTGTAATGACATAATGTCGTCGCAAAAAATAACCTGCATAAACCAAATCACAGACCTCCTTCACCATTTTTCCCGGTGAAGCTCTCGCATTTTCCGTTCCTCTCTCTGTCCAAAACCTCCAAAAACCATCTAAAAACATTGAAAATAGCTTAAAAATGCCGTCCTCTCTTCAAATATTTCATTTGTGGAGAGAAAAAGTCAAAAAAACATAGAGTTTTTATCTCCCTCTCGCCTCCCACTTTTCCGGCTGGACTCGTTGTTTTCCTGCCGCACTCGCCGTTTTTCGGCCGCCGGCGTCCTCTTTTCTTGCTGCCTTACCGTTCTCCAACCCCCGGTATTTGTGAGTTTGGATTTTGTGAGTTAATATTTTGATATTTTGTTAATTGGTTTTGGTATTTTTGGTATGGTTTATAATTTTATTTTAGATTTTTGATATAGTTTGTGGTTTTGAATTTAGAATTGTGAATTTTAAATTAGAATTGAAATTGAAATATGTGATAGATCCACGCCTGACAAGTTTCAGGTAATTAAATCTATTTTATATGTTGTTTTTATAAGATATATAATGAAGGTTAATTTTACTAACGCTAAATGTAATCATAAATAGAAAAAGTCAGGGATCAATAAACTTAATCGTAACAACCAAAAATGGTCGAGTTTTCATGGTCGGCTGTCGTACTCCCAACATCGCGATAAGAAAGTAATTATTTGTTAATAATTTATTCCATATAAATGTTAATTTGATAATTGATTACACTATATTCATATACGTTTAAACTACTATACAGTCTACCATAGGGATTCAATAGCCGATGTCCGTCATCGATAACTGGGGGGACATGCATCGTCGTGGGGATACTTGGGTTAATCCCCAAGCTGAGCAGACTTTCGTAAGTATACTCATAATGTTTAATTATATTTTTTTATTTAAATCGCATTATGCATTTAATTATTTTTCTTATAATATTTGTAGCATCGGATTGGGGGAGAAAGAGAAACGCAGATCCAAACGCAATCTGTTACTTCTGGATCCTCCGCGGCATGAATAGTTAACGAGGATGATATTATGGAGCAATTTCTAGGCACCCGCAAAGGACACAAGACTGGAGTGGGTCACACACTCCCACAAAAAGTTTATCGAGGGGATACGTCGTCATATGGCTCATGCTCGGCAAGATCTTCTACGACACGTTCTAATCCACACGTAGAAGAATACTTACAACGGACTTACCAGCAAAACCTCCAGTTGTACGAGAGTGTTAGAATGATGCAGGATTTCATCACTCAAATGCACCCCAACGTGGCTTTCCCAGCGGTTACTCCTCCTGAGCCGTATGCCCGTCCAGGTCATCTGCCTCCGAATCCTTCTGATGATAACGACGATAATTCTAGTGGCGCTGCTAATTTAGGAGATTAGAGTTTTATTAATATAACAATTTATACTTCCGCACATTTCTACTATAATTATATTTTTATTTTATTAATTACTTTTTACCATGATAATTTTTATTTATATTTAATATCATGAATTATATTTATTATAATTATTAAAATGAGAAAAAATAAATGAATAATTAAAATATTATTTGCGACGACAAATGTGGTCGCAAAAAAATATATGCCACATCAGCTACCACTACCTCTTTTGTGACGACTTAATTCAAAAAATGTCGTCGTAAATACTTAATGTCATGTCACCTTAACGATGTACTCGACGAAATAATTGTAGCGACTCAATTGCAACGATTGTCGTCGCAAATATAATTGCGACGACAAGCTGTGGTCGCAAAAAATATTTTTGCGACTATTCAACTGCAGCGACAGGTTTGCGATGACAAGTGGTCGCTAAAAATTCATTTGCGACGGCTTTGTATTTTTTGGACTTTTTGTCGTCGCTAATAGCCTTTTTTCTTGTAGTGTGAGATCGAACTGATGTGTCGGCCTCGGTGCTAGAATCGATCCGACTTGTCGAGCCCAGTGCCGGGATTTGATTGACAGGCCGAAGCTAAGGCTTGAATAGTACCCTCATACTGGGCCAGTGCTGAAATCGCACCACCGGAGTTCATTTAATGTATTTGTTTTCTGTTCGTAACTTAATAACTAGGCATTCAGATAAAGTAAAAACACAAACTAATAGACTATTTCAATATCATAAAAACTACAAATCTGTATTAACTCAGGTCATAAACTGATAATTTTTCGAATATAAAACTAGTCTTAACTTGTAATTATCCACAAAATATAAGTTTTTAGTTAGATCTGATTCATTGATTTGCTCTCCATATATGTTGAGCAATTTCATCACGAACACAGCATTTCACGCAACTGATTTTGGATCACATTGAATTTCTCAACTTTACTGGATGAATCCATAATCAAGTAAATGTAGAAACATAAATCTTGAACTATGTAAATGCCAACGTCGCCGAACCTTAGACGTCATCGCAGCAGCACCACCCTTTGCCTCATCAGCCACATCCCCGGCGTAGCAACGTCGCCCATGCCGGATGACGCCATTGGAAGAACTGCAGATTTTGCCGACTCTAATGAATGCTTTTTGTTTAATGGAGCATGCTTTTTGTTTAATGGAGCATGCAGCATTAGGAGCTTCATATTTCGCTGATGATTTTGTGGAAACTGCATATTTTATTGCTGATGATTTTTGAAAAACAAAAAAAACAAAAAACCGTAAATTTCTTCTTTTCTTGAACTCTCCTCATATATATATATATATACACACACACCCATAGTATCACAACTAAAAAGGAAAGTAAAAAAAAATCATAATTAAAGCTGAGATGATTCGATGCAATCGCCTTTGAAATGGATTTTTCCATTTTTGTTGTCTTCTCTGTCAATTATATGTCTCTTTCACCTCTTTCTCGCTTCAAATTCAAATTCAAATTTTTAGCACTCAAGCGGAAATGGTTGCTCAGAATCATCCATTTTAGCATCGATCATTCAAATCAACAACCATACTTTCGACCAATGATTCGTTCATCAACAGAACTTTAGAGTTTGCAAATCAAAATCGGCCTTACTTTTTGAGTTTTCTTTTAAATATGTAAATATATTGTTTTTGTTTCTCTAATTCTTTTTTATGCAGGTTTACCCTCTTTCGAATGTCACGTGCTGGGCATGTGAAGAAAATCCGTTAAAAGTTAAACACCATAGAAAATTGAACTTGCTTGGCATGAATTTAAAAATTTGAGTGGTTAATTGTCACAATTTTTAGTTTAGAAACTGATTTGTCAGAAGCGATAAGCTCAAGAGGTAGTCATACAAAAAAAGCTTTTAAATTAATCTAGAACAAAAAAAAATAAAGAAAATAGAAAATTCAAGAACTGATATTACACAACACCAACATGCTCACTAGATAGATCTTTTATTTCGAACATCACAGATACACCTCAAATCATTCCTCATTTGTATATATGGTAATAAGACAGTTAGCAAAACCAACATAAAATATTACCATTGCATACTTGCTGATTTGAATTTATTTATAAGTGGAAAGCGAAAATCCATCTTAGTAGCATCATTGTTTTCATTAGTTACTCATATTCTTAAAGGGATAAATGAAAACCAATATAGTCCAACCAATAGCCGATACTTCCTTTGAATCCAACAATCAAGCCATTTTGAATTGGAAGATTGAAAGGTGTGCCGCTCGTAGTTCCATATGGTCCATAGGTTGCCTTGTTGGTCTTGAATGTTAAAGAGCGTACTACTTTATAACCTCGCACATTATCAGTGTATCCGCTCACTTCGACTATATACTCACTCGGAAAATCTAGAGAAATCTGAATTTCAAAGGATACAAAAATATAAATAAATTAAACTAGTAATACACATATATATGTATGTATACGGTAAGTATTTATAACTAAAGATTTTTAAATTTTAATATTTATACGTGTATATTTTAATATTCGGTAATTTATTCTTAATGTGTTTAATGTGTGAGGGAGCGTTTTACAATCGAAATTTTAACTTTGGAAAATATAATAGATCTTTATAGACTGCTCTAATTCCAAATTTTTTTAGTATACAAATTCCCATATATATGTGTGTACACAACCATAAAAGAAATTCTGTAAATTAAAAGAATGAAGAAAGAATTATAGACTAACCGTCACTGGTGTGAAGCCTGTTATAAAGCTTGAATGTTTTTCTGCAACAAATGGCACACCATTCAAGTCGTAGGTCACTTGAAAGCTTCCAATGGCTGTTTCGTCATTATATTCAAAGTTTATTTCTCTTATTCCCGTGTATGCACCATCATCAAAAACTACACCATTAGAGCTGGTTGCTTGGGTTCCCCATGTTCCTATAGTTATTGTCTGGCTTTTCCCACTTTGTTGATCATTTTTAGCTTCCTACAAAATATTTTTCAAATGGTTTTGCGTGTATATTCTAATTCATCAAAATGCAACAAATAGAAGAATTATAAAGAAATATGTCCTCGTTGAAGAGTTGTAATGCAATTTATATCGATTCGTATAAAAAAATGTATGTCATTGCAAAATATATATATATATATATATATATGTATATGTAAATACATGTATGGAGCCTCACCATCCCACTGTGTTTAAAGGTTTCTTTAGAAACTCCAACGGCGGCCTCGATTATCCTGATTGGATTTTGGTCGAGGCGGCCATTTGGCAAGGACCACTTGTGGCTGTAGGCGGAGGAGATGGAGAAGAGGAGGACAAGGACGGAGAGGGAGAGAAAAGAAGAGGAGGCCATTCGCATGAAAATATTGAAAATTAGTTCAAGTAGATATTTGGATGTGGAGAAACTTGCTTCTTTACGTGGCTATATATAGAGATACATCTGCTACACTTATTTGGAATTTCATGCTTGCTTACGGGCAATGAAGGAAATTCAAACGATTCATGACCTCGGTTGTAGATAAATAGTATTGGATAAGAAGAATATCACGTGGTATCACGTGCTGAGCCATGAACTTTTGTGAGAAGACAAGAAAGGTTCTGAACCAAGTTATACTGTTGTAGTGAGGGCATAATGCATATGTGCCTAATTACCTCCCAATGCAAAAAAAATAAATAAATAAAGACTGGACTAGACTAGCTAGTAGTTGAGTGTTCCTTGTTGTTCGAATCATAACCGGTCTAATTTAATTATCTTCTGTTGGGAACTTTGTCAGAGTCTTATCACCTTCTTATTTTTATTATTATTTTTTATTTACTAATGGTCTCCAATTAGACAGTGTTTGAAACACTTGACCGGTCAGCACATTAATTGTAATTATCCGATTGAAAATGGATGGTCATGAATAAGCGTTTTTATTTGAATTTTTTTTAGTACCGTGATAGATTATTATAATGGTTTAAATATTCTGTATTCATGTAATTCAACAGATTGTCGTTTGGACTTTAAGTTGTAGGATTTTACTTATTATGTGTAAGTTGGGGTTTTGTGGAGGAATCTTAAAGTGTTAAATCTTCTAAATATTGGCAAGAATTTACATTATCTGAAACATTTGACCGTTACTTTTGAAACTTTTCTTTAGTGTTGTTGGATTGAGAGTTCCTTTTTACTTTGTAGAGGTTTGGTCGTTTATTTTTGTGTTTTTGTGGTGTAGACCTTTAATTTTAGTTGGAACAATGTAGGCAACGATTTTAATTCTTGTTATTGTAGAATGGATAAATTATAACATGAGGCGTCAAAATTAATCTAATAGATTGATATTGTAAGAAGTTTTATTTCTTGAGTGTGAAAGATTCATTTACATGGTTAACTACTATAACCTATTTTGCTTTATGAAATAATGGAAACAAAGCTTTAAGTTGCATGACTAAAACTAAGATCCCAAATATCAAACAAGCTTAGTTCTTTTCCTGCAAAAAATTTCCTACTTACTCTGGTTCTCTTTTTAAGGGGCCAAATAAACTGAAACTAAACCCTCAATTATAGAGAAAAACTTTCATAGAAATAACGAAATGATGGGAGTCTTAGAAAATTAAATATATTGTTAATGAATTAGAGACGATGAGTCTTAAAGAATTGAGTATATCGTTAATGAACAATTTTAAGAAAACCGAGTTCCTTGTCCACTTGTTATTACAAAAAGTTACATATTCATTTTTGTATCGCATTTTTCTTTCTTAAAGTGTATTTCTACATTATTATATACATGTCATATTATGTTATTGCTCATCAACCGGTTATAATATATCCTTCTCACCAGACATCAACCAACTAACATCTCTAAGTGTTATCAGATGTGCAAAAAAAAAAAAAAAAAAAAAAAAAAACCTGAGTCCTGAACCAGATGATCGCCAGGTCTTTTTTTGCCTTAAAATCTTTACTCATCAATCTAGACCTAAAATAGGTGTCGCTCTAGTTCGGCTGCCGGAATGGAGACAATAATATAATATATTTGAGTCCTTCGAGTACTTTGGGAGATGGTCAGAATTTAATTAACACATGTTTTTAGGTATTTAGAACGTGGGCTTTTAATCTACCCACCTTCAATAACCCAGAACGATTAATTAACTTAACCATTTCAATTAATGAACAATTATCTTATATATATGTATATATATATATATATATATTTCTGTTTTATTGAAGTAGTTGGAGTAACGTGTTCGTACGCGTGAAATTCTATAAAAATAGTAGATTAATATCACACATTTTGAGATAATGTAGAGTTTTTGGCTAAAATCAATCTTAATATTTTTAAATTTATTTAAAACAATTTGTATGTTCATATGAAACAACAAGTTTATCTTTTTATTAACTATGAATATTTATTTATGAAGGAATGTTTAAGAAGAATTTTATGTATATTCAGATCTTCTACCATATTTTTAACCAACAAACAGTAATAAAGAAAAAGAGAAAAAGCTCTTGTTTGTAGTGTGAACATTTGTAAGTTTCTATTTAATAAGAAAAAAATTATATTATACTAGTGTTAAACTCACTAATAATACCGGTTTTTACATGAACTTATAAAACTTGTCATTCTATTTTCTTTCCTGGCTTTTTATTCCATCTACTTTCATCTTCTCTCAAGCTTCTATGCTTTAAAACTAGCTTCATCATTTTGTATGATGAAAAACAAGTCTATTCATTCCGCCCAAAAAATGAAAAGTTTCTAATAAATATAGGATAAAAAAGAGCTCTAACAAACAACAAAAGCTTCAAAATCTCATCATCAACGTTCTTTAAAATTTCCAAGAACCTAAAAGGCCCGTTTGGAACATATATTTAAGTCATGATTTAGATTTATTGATAGAAACTTTCTGAGAAATGAAATTTTAAATTTTAAATTTTTATGAGATAAAAAGTACTATAGTAAAACTCAAATTTAGATTTGAATATATGTCCCAAACAAGTTTTAAATAGCCTTATTCAATCTCCAACCTGGATTTGTCCGAATCGTTTAGAAGCGAAGAGAAAAAGAAAAGTTAACACCGGAAGTCAATTGTTGGACAAGGTGACAAAATTGGGCGGGCGGGTGAATCCATTACATATAATCACATGGTTTTGATGAAGCAAATAATGGAATCACATAGAAGCTGTAGATATATAGCCATTGAAATACTATATTCATTATTAATTTGTTGTCGTTTTTCCTTGTCACTTCATACTGTTAGTTTACCAATTCATCTTAAAAGTTTAAGCTATTAAGATGTAGGCTAACAATAGTTTTATACTTAAATATTTTTATACTTTAACATTTTCCGTCACGTGTGGGTTGGACAATAGACAATCGTGTAGGTAAATTAATTAGAAAACCCAATACGTGAATATTTGATAATAAGTCCGAAATATATTAAAGACACAATACATGATGACAATTTAAATAAGAATAAAGAGTGCAATTACGGTGTTTACCCCCTCTCTGATACCATGTTAGTTTACTAATCCATCCCAAAAAGTTGAACTATTAGGAGGTGGCTAATAATAGTTTTATCATTTAACACTTCTCTTCATGTGTGGGCTGGACTATGGACAATCATTACCTAGGGATTCTAGGGTCCTATTCATTTGTACAAGAATCTCAAACACTTATAATATTGTTCTGTTTGTTATTTGTTGTCGTTTTTTCTTGTAACTTTCGTCCAGGATAGGAATTGGGACACTACGTTGTAATCAGCTTGGGTTTCATTTTCTTCATTTGTCTTTCTTGAATTACATAAAATGCCTACTTTTGAACCTATATTTTTAAAAACATCGACTAGATATTACAAGAATACCGCTTTGTTTTTCATAAGGCATTTTTTTTCCAGTATTGCCTTTATTGGGTATTTTCAGTAATGTTCTTTATATGATTAGAGTTTATTTATTTGTAGACTGATTTTTTTATTATAATTTAGATATTTGCTTCCCTTTTTTAACTTTCATTGATTTATTGTAATCAATCAATATGATTTTTATTATGATTTTTTTATCCGGTTATTAATTTTTCCTCTTTTTTCATGTTTGAATTCTATCGTATGTGTGCATTTTTTTCCACGTTTTTTCGCTCATTTGTCCCGTTCTGTGTTTCGTGTTCACGTTCTTCGTTACTGATCGTTGACTTGAGTTCATCTGTCGTTGATTTGCAGTCTTAATTCTTTGGATTTCGTTTTGTTTGGTGTTTATTACTTGCTTGATCGACTGTCTTTGTTATTGTTATTTACGGCTGTCTTTGTTATTTGTTGTTTATTTTACTGCTATTACTTTTTGTTTGATTTGCTTGTGTTTACGTTAATGCTATTCCTTTTGTTCTTCGTTTGCTTTTGTTATTACTGTTTTTTTCGTTGATATTGTTGTTTATTTAGTGTTACTCGGATTTGGTGTCCTTGATTTTTCTTTTAGACATAAACGATTTTTGTGTTGTTTTTCACTGATTTAATAGTGTTTTCTTTCTTTATCCAGGTAATTCAAATTTTGTATTGATTCTTTTATGTATTGCTTTGATCATTGCATTAATAAAAATTTTCGCATCTGTTCAAGTTTTCGAGTATGTTCATTGTTGGATACATGTTGTATTGTTTTCCGTTTTTTTTTTTTTTTTTTATGGCCCTTTGTATCATCTTTTGTTCATGTTTATTGGAATATTCATTTCGAGTCATGCAAATTTCATATTCATTCTTATATGTATTTCTTAGATCACTGCATTAATGAAACAATTTCGCATGTGTTCATTTTTTTGTATATGTTGATTGTTTGATACATATTGTATTGTTTTTTTTTTTTTTTGTTCAGATTGTTTCTTAGTTATGTCACGATTAAACTAATAAAAAGATCTTCTTTTCTTTATAGCACATACTCTGTCTCATAATGATTTGTTATATATTCTTTTTCGTAATGGCTTCATCATTAAAATAATGAAATTATCTATTCTTTATATCTGATATATTCTTGTATTTGATATGTAATTTAATATTCGGTGTTCATTTTCTTAATGAAGACTTATTTTCATTGGACAGAGTTTCATAATAGTATCATACCCTTGGATATTGTGACTCAATCCTTTTTGAGTAATTAGGCCTGTTTGAAAATGTTTTGTTTTTGTGTTTGTTTAAACAAAAAACAAAAATAATTTTCTTGTTAATTTTTACTTTTTAAAACAAGAAACATGTTTGGTAAATACTATTTATTTTTTTGTTTAAAAAAAACAAAAAACACATTTGATAACAAAAATTTTATTACTTATTTTTCTAAACAAAAAACAAAAATATAACATAAACTTGATATCGAGACCGAAACAACAAGACGTGATCAACTTTAAGACC